AGAACCGCAGGAGTCTTCTCTGTCATTTCACTGCAGCTGTTTGTCCTGCTCTGTCTCGGTCTCATTCTGTAACATGTCATTTAGTTCACAGCGTGTGATCGGAACAATTTATAATCTCTGATATTTACTACTGAGACAAACTGAACTGAATATATTGAGACCAGAGAGAGACCAGAGAGAGAGACCAGAGAGAGAGACCAGAGAGAGACCAGAGAGAGACCAGAGAGAGACCAAAGAGAGAGAGCAGAGAGAAAAATAGAGACCAGAGAGAGACTAGAGAGAGACCAGAGAGAGAGACCAGAGAGAGACCAGAGAGAGAGACCAGGGAGAGAGACCAGAGAGAGAGACCAGGGAGAGAGACTAGAGAGAGACCAGAGAGAGAGACCAGAGAGAGACCAGAGAGAGAGACCAGAGAGAGAGACCAGGGAGAGAGACCAGAGAGAGAGACCAGGGAGAGAGACCAGAGAGAGACTAGGGAGAGAGACCAGAGAGAGAGACCAGGGAGAGAGACTAGAGAGAGACCAGAGAGAGAGACCAGAGAGAGACCAGAGAGAGAGACCAGAGAGAGAGACCAGGGAGAGAGACCAGAGAGAGAGACCAGAGAGAGACCAGAGAGAGAGACCAGAGAGAGAGACCAGAGAGAGAGACCAGAGAGAGACCAGGGAGAGAGACCAGAGAGAGAGACCAGGGAGAGAGACCAGAGAGAGAGACCAGGGAGAGAGACCAGAGAGAGACTAGGGAGACCAGAGAACTGCAAATGCAACTAAGTAATCTCTGGATGAATTATCATTTTTAAATCCACCCTGTGTCATTTTTACAGCTGCTCCACTCTGATAATAATGAGAACGAGGCAGACTCTGCAACAGTCTCAGGATGTTCTGACCTGATCCGAGCACAGTCCAAACTACTCTCAAAAGTTTCAACTAAACTTATTCAAAGACAAAGCCTCAAATAAAACGCACACAGAATCCACAAAACAATCACAGAATACTTCATCAGCAGCGTGTGTGAATGTTATGTTTCTCACCCTGATGCAGAGAGGCGCTGTGGCTAATGCTAATGCTAACATGAGCTTATAGCCATGTCCTGCGGCTGTGTATATGTCCTGCAGCTGTGTATATGTCATGCGGCTGTGTATATGTCCTGTAGCTGTGTGTATGTCCTGCGGCTGTGTATATGTCCTGTAGCTGTGTATATGTCCTGTGGCTGTGTATATGTCCTGCAGCTGTGTATATGTCCTGCGGCTGTGTATATGTCCTGTAGCTGTGTATATGTCCTGTAGCTGGGTATATGTCCTGCAGCTGTGTATATGTCCTGTAGCTGTGTATATGTCCTGCAGCTGTGTATATGCAGCTGTGTATATGCAGCTGTGTATATCAATCAATCAATCAACTTTATTTGTATGGCGCCTTTCCAACACAAGGCCACTCAAAGCGCCTCACAACCCACATAATATCACACAAATCAGAGACATCAATAAATACATTAAAAACAGAATAAAATCACAATTAATGTAAAAAAAAAAAAAAAAAAAAAAACTTAAAATATTAAAAGCACACACGGGATTAAAATAATAAATAACCACAATGCATTAAAAAAAGGAGTATGTATCAATAAAATCCTTCAGCCGTATGCACAGCTAAAAAGAACAGTTTTTAGCCCTGATTTAAAAATTGCCAGAGTAGATGCTAGCCTCACATCTTCAGGAAGATTGTTCCAGATTTTAGCTCCATAAATCTCAAACGCTGCCTCCCCATGTTTAGTTCTGACTCTTGGAATCAGTAAGAGGCTACCTCCTGTGCTCCTCAGAGTCCGGGCCGGTTCATATGGGACTAACAAGTCGCTTAAGTACCCTGGTGCGAGGCCATGGAGAGACTTGTACACAAGCAGTGCTGCTTTGAAGTCTATTCTCTGAGCCACAGGAAGCCAGTGCAGAGACCTGAGAACTGGACTAATGTGGTCATATTTCCTGGTCCTGGTCAGGACTCGAGCTGCTGCATTTTGAATGTACTGCAGTTGTTTTACAGCCTGTTTGGACAGACCTGTGAGCAGGCCATTGCAGTAGTCTAACCTACTGGAGACAAATGCATGGATGAGAATCTCCAGGTCTGCTTTAGACACTATGTTTCTAATTTTGGCAATGTTTTTCAGATGGTAAAATGCTGCTGATGTTACTGATTTGATATGACTGTTAAAATTTAAGTCTGAGTCCATTATAACTCCTAGGTTTCTGACCTTGCCTACAGGTTCCAGGGAGAGAGACTGGAGGTGACGAATAACGCTCTCTCTTTGTTTCTGAGGACCAAAGACAATCAATTCTGTTTTGTCTGCGTTTAGCTGAAGGAAGTTATTTTGCATCCAATCACTAATCTGTTGAGTACAGTGAAGGAGTGATTCCACTGGTCCATGTTCTCCTGCAGTAAGTGAGACATAA